CAGCCTGCAGCGCTGTGCACGAGTGTCTTGTTTGAAGTTCACTCTTGCTGCTCCCCTGTCTGCACACAGTGCTAGCAACCGCTCAGCCCTGGGGCAGACCTTTGGGTTAAGTCCCCGCTTGGCCTTCAGTGGGCTAGACCGCACCTCCGTCTGTGGACAGCTGGGCAGCGCCGTGGCTGTGTGGATGGACCCTTCAGGTCGCATCCCTGCCTTGGCCCTTCATCTTTGCAGCTGTACTGCTGCTGCGGGCTGTGTTCCCCTGAGTGAGCTGACACTTGACTGTCCGCCAGTGTCTCGTCAGGCCCACTCTTGCTGGCCCCCTGTCTACGGATGGCTCAGAGTGGCTGCTATGCCCTGGTGGCGAACCTTGGGTCGCTCCTCACTTGGGCCCTCAATGGCCTGAGCCATCAGCCCCTCCCCGATCGTGGATGATGCAGGTTGGCTGCTCAGCTCCTGGGACAGGCCCTGGGCCTCGTCCTACCTCGGCCATCCACTGAGTGGCCGAGATGCTGCGAAAGGCTCTTTTCCCCTGCCACTGTGTCACTGCCTAGTGCCAGGCGGGGATCTGTTGTGACTTGGCAACTCCAGCCGGTGGCTACGACTTCCCGACTGGAGCGTCATCGCGGATTTCGGTCACGGCGATAGCCAGCTGCTGTGCACGAGTGGCTTGGTAGGTTGTGTTCCCCAGGCGTATTGCCCGTGTTTGCTGGCTTTCATGCCAGTCTGACCTCGCTGGGGCGAGTGACAGTTCTCCAGCCTAGTGTAACTTCAGCCAGTGAGTGAGAGCTCCCTAGCCTGCTATGCTGGCTCCCAGTCTGGTGCTTTGCCTGTGTGTCACGGGCTTACATGGCCAGCACGGGGACACCCAGTGAGCTGGGACTTTGTGTCTGACCTCGAGTGTCTCGTTTGCGAGTTCACTCTTGAAGCTGTAGTGACAGTGCTGGGGCAGCTACTTGGCAGCTCGGTGTGCTGCGCTCCCTGGCGGTCTGCTTTGCGGTTCCCGGGCTGACCTTAATCGGCCAATCACTTGCGGTCCTGCATGACTGATTCAGGCCAGTCTGGGGTCTGCAGACTGCTGCCTCCACCCCTTGGCTCAGGCTATGCGTCTGCGAAGCCCTGACCAGGGTGGTGTGCCTGTTGGTGCATGGTCACTGACTCCCAGCACTTTCACTCTCAGCGGTTCAGTTGCACTGTCTCCTCGCGGGGTGTCTTACAGAGTTACCCTGTACATATGGAATATGTAACAGTGTGGAGAGAGTCTCTGACTAAGTGAACCAAGGTTACACCGTAACCTTGGTTCACTTAGGGGGGGGGGGGGGGGGTTGCTTTTTTTTTTTTTTTTGTGTGTATGAAGACCTTTTTCTGCTCATTGCACTGTCCACTTGTAGGACCTGAAGCCTCGATCAGTGTGCCAGCCCCTGGAACTCACTGCTATTCGATATGTAGGCTGTGCTGTATCTATGATCAGCAGTTTTGCTCTTATAATTTATCTTGGCAGAAAAAAGGTATGTGTGCATATGGAAACAGTTTTTAGATTTTTTTTTTTTTTTTAATTTACACTTAGGTAATCTGTTTATCTTTTCAGTATTCCCATGCAAATATCTAGCAATGACTATTCCATTAGACACATGCCAGTATCTTCAAACACAAGGAGTTTGCATTGTATTTTGTATTCTTATACTATAACTGCATTTCTTGCATTATATAGTTCTGCTTCTAAATGTTATATTTCAACACTGTCATCCAATTAAATACACAGTACATACAATACATAGATTTGAGGATTTCAGTTTTTTGTACTTTCTCTTAAACTGGCTGCTGTAACAAGGTATTTTCTTAAGTTTTGGAATAAATAGTGTTTTTGTCTTATCTTATTTGAAGAACATTTGGGGTATTTAAGTATAGTATACATATTAATATTAATATAGGATTACTGAATTATTGTAAGTGCAAGCAACAATAGAACAAGTTCATACAAAAACTTGATCACAGTAATGCCACCAAGTTCATACAAAAACTTGGTGGCATTACTGTGATCTTGTGGTTAACTTGCTCAAAATAGAGATGCAGCTCATGTACCAAAATATGTGAGCTGTATCACCCTCGATGTTAATAACAGAATCGTATTACTGTTTTCTCACCCCATTCTTGTCATTTAAAAACTGGAAATGTTTCTTTGTTATGTTTTTTTTTAACAATTTCTGGACATGTGAACCAAATTTATTTTCAGATTAAAATACCTTTGCATGGTCTGGCTATGTTTGCACAACTGATTGTCGAGGTGTCTTAACCTCACACTATAAAGTGCTTTGAGATGACCGTTGTGTTTTACTGCTATATAAATAAAATGTATTTGATCTCAAGTACAGCTGCAATCTGCAAAAAGTGAAAGAAAAGTGCTTTTTTTTGTTTCTTCTCATGATAGATTATGCTGCCATTTGTCATTTTGGCTGTTTTTTATGTTAAAATCTTTCAGGTTTGGTAAGCAAGAAGTGCTGTTTGTTGACATCATGCAGCACCCTTCACCCTACCTGAGGAACAGGTACCTGGCCACAGGAAAGACTTCAGCTTCAAATCATAATCCAACTACTCCCACAGTTAACTATGAAGAAAACTTCATGGTTAACTGTGTATGATGCAGCATTTTAGAGGCAAACGGTTTATTTATATGTACAGCAGTATGACTTTCTTTATCTCATACCAACTGTTGCACCTGTGTTTCAGTTTGTATCTCATATCCAGTAGATATTCTTGTACACTGTGTCATCTTTATAAAGTCTCACAATCCAGCTTGTCACTTCAGCGTTTTCAGCAGACCAAATCTAAGTGAGCTGCAATTTTATACAAGCTGGAACAGCTGAGGTAGCTTTTGTTGCACACAGGTTGAACAGCTGTGGTCAAAGGTTTTGGTTTAAGTGTCACTAATGCCAAAAAATGTATTTATTTGCCATTAAAAGTCTTGAATGAATAAATGAATGAATTGCTCATGACTGCTTTTTACTGTGTCACAGAAATGTGTATTAAAAAATAAATAAACAACTTGAATAAAAATGTAAGCAGCAAAGTGTATGAAACAAGGCCATGAGCGAAGCTGGTTTGGACCACGTAGTTGTTTGCCAACAATATACCCACCAATGCAACATCACTGTAGTTATCACCAAAGGGAGGAAAACAGCAGTAAGATGAGCTCAGTAGTAGAACAGAATCAATACAATACCCATAGTTCATTAGATCAGAACTGTACAGCTCATGCAGCACCACCTGAGGCAAATGTTCCAATAGCTCGACTACCATGGTGAACATGACATCAATGATGATGATGACAATGACAGTGGAGACAAATATAATTTAGATCAATTACCCCAGTTGCTAAGAAACCTTTCTACTTCCCTTTCCAAAAATAACCTTTTACTCTGTATGTTGTGTAGCTGAGACTAGACGGAATATAAGCCAAGAAAGAAATCCCATCTTATGAATGCTACGTGTAGCAGACTACATGTAGCATGCATAACATTTTATGACAGTTCATAAATTCATGTAAAAGTATCCTGATAACACCTGGAAGCTTTGAAAATAAACATGACCATTTGTGCTTTTGTTCTGCGCCATAAACGTAATGTTGTTGATTCAAAATAATGATTAATAACTATATATTATGATAACTTGTTCGAAAATTCCTGACAGTCATTTTGATTGCTTAGAAAAGTCTCCAAATGAACAGCCACTATAATGTAGTGCAATTATAAACATCTGGATTAGAAATCAAGTAAAAACAGATGGTTTAAAATACTAAAGAATGTATATCTAATGCTCATCCTGTAATTTTTGTCCTGCTTCACTCAATTTCTCATTTTGCTTTTAGTTACTTACATTTGCTAGTCGAAAACATGTGGTTTAATGTTAAAATGCAGTGAGTCAAAAATAGCTATGAGACTAAACAGGGCACAACAGGATTGGACTCCTGTGCAGCTGCTGGAGCTGATCAGGCCCACTGAAAATTTAACTAAAAATGCTAATCAATCTTAATGAAACTAACTTCAAGCTGCACAGAGCAGATGAAACAGCAGGACGTCTGCTGAACGTTTAGTCTAATTTCAAAATGGAACACCCTGAACAGACTGAATGCTTTGCTTATGAAATGTTCCCGGTGTTTTTCAAGCCAGGCAAAAGATGTCACATACACAGACACACCCTTTATATTCCTGGGATAAAACCAGTCTCAGGATCATACCTCTGAGACAGGAACCGCTTTGACTAAACAGCAGTATTTGATGTACTCAGAATTAAACTGATCAATTGAGCTTCTTTTACCCATATCGCCCTGTAAAAAAAATAAAACAAAGCAACCTCTATTATAAAACATCTACCTTGCCAAGTCACACATATTTCTACATATAATTCCACAATTTGCTACATCTTGCTTAAGATGATGGCCATTGCTGTGCAGCAAATCATTTAAAGTCAGCAGAAAGGAATAACACAGGCCATTCTACTTTTACACAACTGAGAAATTGCTTTTTAACAGTGATCGCTCTGTGATGTTTACTCAGAATGTCCCAGGTTTATATCTGTAAGCCAGCTAGACTAGCTGTTTCTTCTGCAACTTTTCTCATTTGCAGTCAGGTTTTGACAGGACAGATCATTTAAAATAATAATTATGGAATTTTACAGACAATTTTCAAAAGCCATAAAGCAGCTACGTGCATACAACAACAGCTAGCAGACTGGACTAAAACTAAAGCTCCAAATCTGACCAAGGCACAAATCTGAAACTAAAAGGTTCTCTTTTGAGATGAAATGAAGATTCTGAGATACAAGATGTCTGGAGCATAGTTTACTTTAGGAGACAGGATGTGCAGAAGTTCCACAACTGGACTAAAGATGTGGAATGAACAAAGTGTCTGTGTGGACATGATTAAGAACAAAAAGAAATAGTGCATATTAGTTATGTGTTTCAAAAATAACAACAGTGGGTTTAAAAAAAAAAAAAAAAAAAAAAAAAAAAAAAAAAAAAAAAGGCTTACAGCATCTCATACTGTGAAACAGGGTGAATTACACTAAACCCACCTCAGCTGGTCAGCTTGAAACACTCAAGAGTCACTGAATTCAACACATGGAAAACATGTTATGTTGGTTGAAAAAAAAAACAGCAAGAAACTGCAAGCAATGAGGCCAAGAGTAAATAAAGGCAATGACATTACAGGGATGTCACTGTCCTCAAATAGCAGCAGTAGTATTTTCTCCCCTTCTTCATTAGAAAATAAATAAGACCAATAGTTTAGATCAATGTTAAACACACTCACACCTTTTAGTTAGAACCCAGGAGAGAATATTAACCTGCATTATGCTCTGGTCCCTGCAGTCATGTTCATAGCACCAGTGAAGTCTCAAAGGCATATACTGTTTAAAAGGCATATAGTATATAAAATTACCTGCTAAACTCAATAAGGATTAATAATAAATAAACTGCATAACCACCTCTCTACTGCACCTTGAAATGTTTTCCCAGAACAAAAATCTTTGTTTGTTTTATACAGCTGAAGGCCACATCTGTTGGCTGTGAGGATGCACAAACTCCTGGGTTTTAAAGTGTAACAGTCTATTGACTTTTGTCCATCTCAGTCAGCACACAGAAGCAGGTGTACTGGGTGAAGTCAGTCAGAGAACCTGCAGAAAACAGACAACACCGTGTTGGTTAGTTGACTCAGATGAAGTTAAGTGAAAATGACAAATCCTTCTTGCTTCCCATGTAGTGCACTCACGCAGCAGCTTAGTGATGACAGGTGGTCGTTTGGACTCTGGCAGGTAGACACCCAGGAAGTAGACTGGAACACCAGATAGGGCAATGGCAATGCCGATCAGGGAGTTGATGGTGTCGCTGTAGAGAGGAACTGCCACCAGGAAAATGGTACAGAGGCAGAACACCACCGGGTATAATAATGAGAGCTGCAGAGAGAGTCACGAGTTCAAAAACAGATCCTCCTAAATAAAAACATAGTATGAAAATATTTGCTTCATCATTATTAGTTTGGATTTTATATGAGTAAACCTACACTGTGACATTCTTCATACCTCAGCATAACATCCATCCAGTTACTGTAACTTTACTTATTAGTGAAACAGTCAGCCTAATGTTGGCAAAGCAGAAAAGTGTGTGTAGAAGCTGTTTTTTTTTTCTAAAGCATTAAATAAAGCCAAATTAAATCTGTTTCATTACTTTTAATACTATAATTACATATAATTAAAATGAGTCACCCACATTCTAACATTACACGCATTATATTCAAACTGAACATGGAAAACCTGAGATACCTTAAGAGGTCTGGGTCTGTCTGGCTCCTTCAAGCGGAGGTAGATCTGGCCAGCGATGGACAGCCCCATGAAGAACCAGTAGCTAAAGCTGTAGTAATTGATAAGCTGGAAGACGTCTTCCACTGTCAGGTAGATCAGTGACATGACACACTGGACAGCAGACGGGGAAAATGACACCAGAATCTGAGTTTGTGTCATAGTTTGAGCAAGTACAATAGAACAAGTGTGCCAAGGGCCCCTTATGGTTTACGGCCTATGATAGCAGTTTGTATTATATCCTTTTATTTCCCAACACAAGAAATGAAACTGACACCCTTGAGTTTCAATAATGCAATCAAGGAGTAGTAATCACGGGATTCCCAGTGAGCTGTTATTAAGTAGGAGTTTCTTCCACCACTATAATCTGCATTTCTATTTACATACATTGAAGATCAGAGCAGGAATCGGAGTGAATCTCTGTATATGGATCATGGACAGAGCATCTGGAAGGTGACCCTCACGAGATCCCACAAAGAACAACCTGGACACAAAGGATACCATTTCTGCCATTTAAAGATAAATCAACCCCTAAAAACAAATGGTTAAAAAAAAAAAAGGAAATGACCACAGTATATTTATTGCACTTCTTAAATCATTGCATATTTGTTTGTTCTACCTGGATGCAGCTATAATAGATGCATTGAGCCCTCCATAGCAGGACAAAGCCACAGCAATGGGAATGGTCCAGCTCATTACACCAAGCGTGTGATCGGCAAACGTCTAAGCAGTAAACAGAAACTGGTTCAACAACTTATACTCAAACACAAGCATAGTTTTCCATTTCATTAGCTACTTCTTTTCAGTTTGTTTACTCACCACTGCAACTGCATCACTGGCCAGTATAGCACTGACATCCAGAACAGCATAATAGGCAACATTAGTGAGGATGTAAATAATGGTGACAATCGGCATAGAGATGGCAATTGCCATGGGCAGGTTCCTGGAAAAACGGGGTATTTGATCAGGCTGAGTATTTTTGTCACATCTTTTCTACTGAGGAAAATAATAATAATATTATTTTAAAAAAAAAACACTGAAAAGAAAATGTACTTTTCAGGACTTTTGATCTCCTCAGTTACAAAGTTGAGAGTGTCCCAGCCAGAGTAAGAGAACAGGGCAGAGTACAGCGCCAATGCAATGTCACCGGGGTCGGTAGATGATCCCTGAAAGGATGATTCGAAGTTACCTGTATAGCCTAAAATGGAAACATGACAATCAAAGCAACAGTCTGTGAAATCTCATTGCATTCAAATTAACAGTGATAAGATGCCACAGATACACAGCATTAGGTGTTCTGGCGAGAAGTATGTTGATGGTTCCCGAGATTTCAGTTTGGTTTGTAGCACCAAGCAGTTATAAAAGGATTCTGAGGACACATTCGTATGGTAATTAGTAGCTGACTTGATGTAGCCCCTGCTTTATCACTCACTTTATTCTAAATGAACCTGTAATTTTCAAAATTTTATACCATATTCATTACGACATTGAACTTGCAATTAAGACCATAAAGTCCTTAGGAAAATGTTTACTGAAGCAATATCCAGAGTCAATTTGTCATAAACTTTCATGCAAAGATCTCTGCTTTACTCCTAAGCAGAAGTGTTATTATTTCTGAAGGTCAGCAGTGCCTTCAGAAATAATAACAAATCTAAAGCAATCCATTAATCAGGATTAATGCATATCAATATGATTATACAGACCTTATCATTAATTGACTTTTTCTTTGGAACTGGAAGGATTCTGGTTTCTGTTTATAGTTTGGGTTTGTTCACCAAACACATTACAGTAGACTTTGTGTGGATGAAGTTAATCAGTCTTTGTACTGATCAAAAGAAGGACTTGAGACTGGTGGCTGCCATCTGATGATTTAGATTTTTTTTTTACTTGTTTTTTTAATAGTGTGCATTTGCAGGCGATGACCACCACAGAGAAGAGGAAGATGTCTTGACTTTACTTGAAGACTCCATAAATAGTTGTTGGCCTGACCAGGTAAACTAGAGAACTATCCAATGAGTTCCAAGACTGCTTTTGCATTGGGTTTGCTTTAAGACCTGGAGGATACATTCATTTTTATGAAAGTTCTGTACTATTTCAAGAATGGGTTTACAGCTACAGTGTTAACTTTCTTCAGCTGCACTGATAATTCAGGACTGAAGTCCTGATTTAAAAGTTCCCAACTGACAAATAGACATTCCATGAATTATGCGTCCAAAACAAAATTAATTTTCCTGACACCTAGAAAACCTCCAACAAGCACTAAAGCCAAGGGATCATCTGTCTGTGGATGGTATTTAATCAGAATTTCCAAACTACATGAAAAGGTGAGTACTGTCGTCACCACTCACCTTGGCATAGCTTGACGATGCCAGTGACTATAATGACGATCAGGGCTGCCACCTTAGCGTAGGTGAAAATGTCCTGAACACGGGTGCCCCACTTTACATACGCAGAGTTGATGAATGTCAGCAGGCCTGGAAAGAGAGGAACACTTACTACTGCAGAAAAGGCTAGATAGATATGAGCAGACAGAAGTTGGATATAAACAGAACTAAAGTACTTACAAACACATGCTGCAGCAATGAGCCTGGATGCCGCATACGGTGGCTCACATGTTGGAAAGAGCGGCTGCACCAGGTAGTTTGCAAATGTGATGGCTATGACTGCCTGGCTCGTGGGCTCAATAATCAGCAGAGATGTCCACAAACGAATAAATGCAATAAAACCACCAAATGACTCCAGTATGTATGCATAAGAGGCTCCTGATTTGGTGATTGTGGTGCCCAGCTCAGCATAACAAAGGGCCCCAATTACTGAGAACAGACCTCCAATCGCCCAGATGACTAGTGAGAGTCCGTAAGAGGCACTGTAAATGAGGACACCCTTCGGGGACACGAAGATCCCAGAGCCTATCATGTTTCCTACGATCAGACTGACTCCATTAAGCAATGAGATCTCTTTTTTAAGCTGCATGCTCACTTTGGGTGTTTCCAAAAGGGTAGAAGAGTCACCAGAATTGCCATTCATCTTCTTGGACTCTTCACGGTTGGCCATGGTGCCACTGCAACAGGGCAAAACCAGCAAGAACTGAAGACCGGCTGTGTGTGCTACAGTCCCTTGTCAATTTCTGAGAACCTCTGAAACAACCTGTCCAACAGAACCAGAAGAAGAAAATTCTTATTGGTAAAGTAGAGAATAAATAAATTCTCAGCAGTCAGAGAAATGTCCAGTGATTGATTTTCAGGGTATCACTTATTGCCAGAGGTAGTCAAGTGGAGAAACATAATTTATAAGGCTATGACATGGACCTTTTTCGTTGTGCATGGAGGATGCTGAAGGTTGTTCAGCCTTTAACTTCTGTTAAAAGGGAAATAATTATTTAAAAATAAAAACCAAATTAGAAATTATAAGGCTGCAAAAGTAGTCTGAATATGGGAGAAGCAGTTTAGAATATCAGTGGCCTTCTGTATTGTCAGTGTGGAATGTGCAATTTAGAGCTCAATTACATGACCACAACTTGATATGATGAGCTGCTTATTAACTCTTATTATATTCTGCATTAATCATCATTAATGGGCAGCTGCTTGTGCCTGTGTGCATGTGAGGTACATGCTTCACTTCAATCATTAGGCATCTGTTCCTCACGCACAAACTCACCAGCACACCACCTGTTTACCTCATGATAATTTAACAATCAATGAGTCAAACAAGCTCACAGCTGTTGACTCATCACTCAACAACAGAGGAGATAGAGCTGCCTTCATGGCTGCGTTAAGCTGCCTGTGCCTCATTAAAGCAAAGGGTGACGGTGGTGTGAATCTCCATATGTGCGAAATGCAACAGGTATCATGCAGCTCTGCTAACGATCCTGAAGATTACACAACACAAGAAGGATTCAGCATTCAAAGAGAGTTAAAACTAAACAGGCATCCCTTGGAGATCTTTTCATGCAATGGTGATATTCTGGATTTCAACTGACTTTCTCCCTGTGGTTTCAAAAGAAGGCTAAAATATAAAAATAACAACAAAGTACACTGTGTAGTAGGTCAACTGTCCAATGTTAAGAAACACGTTGACTACTGTATATACAGAAGATTTTTCCAAGCACAATATATCCAACTGTTAGATTGTTTGACTGAACTGAATCCATATCCATGCTATTTTTATCCATTAGATAATCAGTACTGTACATCAAGCTTCAGTAACTGCAACCCCAAAGCTGGTTTAAAATCGGTAGCATTCAAATCAAATCACATCAAATTTATTTCTATAGCACATTTAAAAGCAACAGAGTTGACCAAAGTGCTTCACAATTAGTTAAAAACATGAGAAAACAATAAATAAAAAAAAAAAAACAAATACAGATGAATTATGTAAGGCAAAGACAATGTATAACATAAAAACAAAATAAACATATTGTTTTGTTTTCCACATTGGAAACGGTGGCTAAAAAATAAGGTTGGTAACAAAAATGTTTATTGTTCAGGAAAATCGCTGCATTTCAGAGGAAAATTGTGTTCATGAACCAAGTAGTTGCATCCTCATTCACTTCATATTCTTTTGATTAACAGACCCAAAAAACCATAACCAATAGTTAGCCGAATCCTGCTTTTGAAGATCTGTTTTGTAAAAGAATCAAGAAATATTCCCATGAGAACTATTTCAAAATTGCTTCCAAGCTTTCTTATATTTTGCCTTACAATTGTACATTGCGCAACAAAGACGTGATGGCAAGCAGGGTAGTTTTTATAGAAGAAAAATGACCAGGAATTAGTAGGTGAAATGAATCATACTGAAATCTATCTGTACACATCATGTATTCTACTGGTCTCAACAAGTATGTAAGCATGCCAGCATGTTCTGCAATTACAACAAAAAAAGGTTTTATCTGTCCGTGCATTCCATTCAAGATGTGTGTTCAGCAGTGCAGGAGGAGCTACAGGCAGGTAAACACGATAACAGACAGTCCCTAGTAACAAAAGCAAGCAGGGCTTTTAGGGTTTGTTTGTTTTTTTTGTTTGCTGTAGTCACAATATGTCTTTTGCTTTATGTAATTATTAGAGTGGACCACCGTAACAATCTTTAATTTTGGTTTTTTGGTTTCTAAAACGCGGTACTGTTGTGCTGAGCAAAAGCAGCACGTTCAATGACACGTTATTCCCTCCGTTGTGAAATACATTTGTTGGAAATCTAATAAATAATGATGTAAATTTTTTTTCTTCTTAAATTAAATCTGTAAAATGTTGTTTTTAAGGCTAGAGAATTAACCTATATACGGATATGATCTAATAGCTCTCTTGCCAGTCCCCTGCCTACCTCAAAGTCAAAATAAAACATCTGTCAACGCAAAACAGCAGCAGCCGGTGTTTTCTTCCTAAAACAATAACCTTACTTCCGCTTAAGACTTTCAAAATAAAGTTACAACCCTCTAGTGCATCTCTGGTAGAAAAGGGCTTTCTCTATTTTCTCGCACATTCTCTCTTTATTTTTCAAACCAACCTTGCTACATTTTGTTGTCAATTTTATCAGTCAAATCCACGTTCATCAGGTTTTTCGTTACTAAGCATTTACCTCAATTCAAAAACGAAAATGCGTGCGCGGTGAATAATGATATATAGTGAACGAACAAAAAAGTGTAACAATTAATAAAATGGAAAAAATTGGTCTAGTTTACCTTAATGTTAACAACAGTTAGAACATGAGACTATCCAAATTATATTAGCCTGTTAGCTTATTGTTTGAGCCGACTCACTGCATATCATAGCTTTGATTTCTTTGAGAAAAACCATGAAGTTGCTTTTTTCTTTGTTTTGTTTTTCCCTAACAGCAGAAATTCCCCATCTTTTATCAAGCGACACAGCTTTAATTTCTCACGAATTGAATTGGCTAATTGTAATTTTGGCTTTAATTTTGAATGCGGAGCTTCTTACCTCCTGTACCGTCTCGCCTCTTTGCGGCTAGCTTGTAGCAAACGGGCTCCCCCTTTCTCCCGTTTCTCTGTCTAAATTCAGATAGTGCTAAAACTTCCGAACACGAACACATTTAACATAAACTATGCCCGCTAAGTGACGACGGGTTTTAGAGCCGTGCTTCCCAGTGGTACCTGTGCTGGTTTTCCTCCTGTCTAATGATTTTGACAGCTGGCCAGCAGTGCGTCCTCATCACCCCGTAAACAACCGGCTGCTGCTCAGGAGGAGACGTCGTCACGTGATCTTGCAGTATTTTTGGCTTTGCTGTGTCTCCCAGCACAGTCTCAGGAGTGTGGAGGAGGTACCAGGTGGCAGGCAATGGACAAAAAGACCTGGACATGTCTGTAGTAGGACATCAACCCAGCAGCAGTGCTGTTATCTGCTCCTTTGTGCAAAGAGTAACAGCAGAAAGTGTCCTCCAGTGTGCTACTCGGGTGCATATTTTTCTGATGACACTAACACTTTGCATGAGGGCCCAGCGTTCTTTATTTGTGCTCACAGACAAGCACAATCCAGCTCAATTGGCATCTGTTAGAGAACACTAGAACTTACAGATCTACCATCAGTGCACCATGCTTCGAGGACAGGTTAACACTAAATGTATATGACAGACGTGAAAGAGCCTGGAGACACCGTGTGATGCCTGCAACACGTCTGCTGCCAGCTTGGTTTTTCCCCAATGCATCCATCCTGGAAATTTTCTTTACCCATGATCGACATATCATTGTTCCGATACCAAAGAGGGACTAATTGTGTTTACACTGAGGCAAAAAAGATGACAAAAAGTCATCACAGGATGCTACAAATAATAGTATCATCAAGTTGTTGCTGTCATGTTCCTAATCACTTCTCTCAGTTATATTGGCCCCTTGGCACTTGATGTGAGTGTGTAAAAAGCACATGTGTAATTAGAGCATTCCTGTTAGAAGCATGGGGCAGAGGGGTACTTGAACAGAATGTGCCAATATTCTGTTAGTGAGATGTCAGGTGATGAAACAAATGTATCCATGTCAGCACACCCGCAAAAATCCAGGACACATTCATAGCTGTAGACCATAGAGTAGTGTATTACAAAATAACTTTAAGTGATGGGTCTTGTTTCCTAAACAGCAAAAACCATGAAAGGCTCACCACAGAGCAAGTAACTGCTGGCAGCCAAAAACAACCAGTCACAAGTTATTTATTAATGCAACAGTACCGGTAACCTTTTGAGCTCTGATGCCTCACATCACGAGGGTCCTGGGGAGTTTGCATATTTTCACCATGTGCTAGTTTCAAATTCTTTGATTAAACTCAAAATGTGATCTTTTAAGCTTCAAGGAATTATACATGCAATTTCAATAATCGTTTTATCCTTTAAACACTAAAATTGACCAATTATGAATTTGAACAATGATTTTAAGACTTGATTTTGGCACAATGTGTATATATAGCAGCTGGATGGCATACTGGTAACACTACTTCCCTCCTGACCAGGGTGTCTGTATCCAATAGGGGTCACCAGGCTAGGCCCTGCATATTTAATATAATGTATTATTATTCCTTTCAATAGGGAAAGTCAGTGTGAAGTGTTCTGTTTTATTTAGTTTATTATGAATATATTACATGTTAAGGATGATGAAATAATGTTTCCATTGAATCTTTGGAACAAAGACCTGTCCTCTAAAAGACACCATGTCTGAAGAGACAGAATAATGTGACATCCATATGCTAGGAGCAAGGATGTATTTTATTGCTATGGTGCAAAAAAAATGTAAAACACTATCATGAAATTTATTAATGAAAGTCTTTTGAGGCATTAAGAAAAGCCATGAATTTTTTCTTCGAAGTATCAGGCTGGCTTCTTCCACCAAATACGTACGCACTGTATCACAATAGAGATGGAAAACAAGCAGCAAGAAAGCAACAATTAAGAAAAAACAAAACCCAGGGGAGGAAGCAGATAAGAGGGAGGGAACAGGAAAACAGCAAGCTGCAAATGTTCTTGTTGTGCAGTGTGGCATGCATTTACACAAACACACAGCAGTTCGACATTTTTAACCAAAAGATTTTTTTTATTAAAAGTCAATATATATCCAGAAAACCAAAATATACACATTAAATTGAGTGACATATATTTTAATTTTAAAATTTTGAAAAAAGTGCAAACATCACAGTATCTAAAAGCTTACATATGTGAGTTCTGCTGGACATGACTGAAACATAACGCCAATGAAATACATGACAATTTTACATTTCTATTTAATACTGGAACGCATCCAACCAAATAAATGCATTTTGACCCATTCTAAAGACAAAGGTCTGATAATCAGTGTTAAGATATTCATTGTGTGTACTCATGTTGTACAGTGTTTAACTGCATTATGGTTACTGTGGTTTAACAGAGACAGTATTTTAGATGCCACCACAAGGAGGCACTGTTTCATTGTAAGAGCACGGATGCTGCGTCATCACGCCCCTAAGAAAAAAAAAAGTATACCACAACGAAAATGGCACCCATGAGAAAAGTTTTGCCGCATGTTGATGAGGAATAAAGTTCCCAAAATATTAAGGACATTTTTGCCTCCGTCGTCATTTTCCTTCGAGTTGATCGCTGTCGATGCTGCAATACTCAACAATCAGGTTTGAAAAAAAAGAAAAACAGTCACTCTGGATTCATTTATAAAATATTCACTTATTTACAGTGTGGACAAATGCAATATGGAATTTACCATCTGCACATTAAAACAGTTCAAAAGAAAACTCACTGAGGCTCAACAAGTACATGTTTAAATGACCGAAAATCTAAAGTGCTACTTTAAACAACTTAGGAAGCAGCTATAAAAAAGCATACATGATACAAAATATAAAACAAAAAGCTTATCTAAAGTTCAAAACATCGTCAATAGTATTATATAGCTTTCTTTTTTTTATATACAATAGAACAGTAACCTGCATCTATTCCTGCTCACAATTTCTGTGTTGGGAATAATTCATAATTATTTCCAACTTACAATTTCTAATTTCACATACGTTAGTTTGAACTTTGACATCCCCCTCCTGTACAACTAGAGCCAGTCTAGCTTTTCTGCAAACGCAGGCTTTAGGCCTGATTAAGGAGTTCCTGAGTGATACTGTCATTTCTTTGCCACGGGCCTAAATTAGAAGAATCAAGTGATTAAATGCCTTTTTGTAATGCAACTTGAGTGAATTATTGATATATAATATTTAGCTAATCGCCACCAAAATTAATTATAACTCAGAATGTGTGACATATAGAGCTATAAATAAACAGCAAATATATTTTGTAAAATGTTTCTTTTTTCTCCTGTTGTAATGATTACTAAATAGAACACAAGCTCAAGAATAAATAATTTAGAGTGAATAAAAAAGGTTTGTACACTCAAAGTTTGAGAAGTTACAGCAGCTGGATTATGTTTGGGAAGGAATACTGACCCATCTTCACTTTTACAGTTACACAGCAGGTCATATTTGTGTTTGCCCGTACAGCTAACTTGTGCTCGTTACTACCGAGTTACAGAGTTAAGAAACGTAGGATATATGGAGAACCTGCTGTACCTTTTTTTTTAGCTGTAGCTCATATTCTCCTGCAGTTACCACCCCTGACAGACACATTTCATCAGAACACTCCTCCAGGAGAAACGTCCTGGTCAACCTCCAGCTCCTCCATCACTGGTGGTATACTGGCATTATTTTTACATTCAAAGTCCGGCTTCTGCATCTTTGTTCATTTAACTCTTCTCCTGGGCCTGGAGCATGTGCTGCCTGGTAGATCCAGTGCTGCTGCTGCCAAGACCAGAGCCACCAGCCTGCTTCTGCATCCAGTCCAGCATGCAGAATCGCAGCATCAGGAAGAAACCTGTGAGCGACAGACGAGAAACCAAGATTCAAAATGGATTGTTTTTACTCAGTCGCCACAGTATCTGATTGTTTTAAAAAAACTTTGACGTGAGTGTTATAGGGACAGAAAATTTGCAGTAAATATGCTAGCAGGAAACGAGCATGATTTGCAGTAAGAATAAGTCAGTGGCAAAATGTTCTCAGATATACTACATAAAAAATGACCCTTTAATATCTGTTATTTGCAGTAAATGCCACCATTCCTCAGCAGAACAGCTCACTTCATGTGTTTCTAAAATCATTCAAAAGCCTTAAAATATTTTTTTAACTCAAAGATATTGCATAATTTTAATATTTTTTTATTTAAAGAATTTTTGAAAATAAATTATTTTACAGTGTACAGAGGTGAACCAATACACTCGTGTTTTTATCAGCTGCCTGGATGTAGCTGAACAATGACTCTAAAAATGATGAACAGAAAATGAAAAATTATATTCTGTTTTGTAAAAAATAAACCATATTATTTACAACAACTTCTGCTGACAAAATATAATACAGCTCTTCTACAATAAATGATCTGTGGTATCATTTATGTGGTAGTTCTTACAATGATATCATAACGATTCAGTTTAAAAATAATCTTTAATCTTGTTTTACTGTTACGAGACATAGTTTAGTCATTTCTATGCTGCCTGCCTTTGCTTGGATCAGATGGTCTTTGTGTTCGTACCATTCCAAGCTTGTGTGCTAGCAACAAGGAAGTTGCAGAGAATCCTATTCTATACAAACGTACAGCCATTATAAATGCAGATAATGTCATGTCAGCAAACAGCTAGATTGGGCTCTAAATTGTTTCTATGTTTAAGAAAATAATACACCTGTAGGTAGGGTCATTTACAGATGTAGCATTTAGCCACTGCATGTTATATGGCTGGCATAGAACACATTGTGATACCACTATGCAGCAATAATGGGGTTAATAAATCACATATTTGGTGCTGAATCAAAAACAAGCATGCTGCATGTGAGAGGAAACAGCTTTGTCTCTGATAGGCAACAGCAACTGAAGGCCTTGATTAATCATGGCCATTGTCTCATTCCCACACTGATACAATAGGCCACTGGCTCCACATGTACAGTCACAGTGTATGAGCCAACAATGAATATACTCCCATCCAACAACCGACTATAAATAGTTAAAAGCTATAAACGCACGTGGAGATTATTCCAAGTCACTTTTTCTTTGGATCTGTGTATTAATTAGATGACAATGATGTAATTTAATGTTGAGAAGCATCATCATCCTCTTTTGACAGCTTTCTGGAATGTATTCATAAATAAGAACAAATGCAAAGTAGTTCATAAACATGAGCTCATCATGTTTGCAAAGCCAATGGCATGTGTCCAAGGAGTCTGTCATTTCCATTGTTTCCCTCTACTGTGCTACAAAAACATCTACATAACACACTGAGGTAAAGTTGCATTGTGTTACAGGCTATGTGGTGTTGAGGTACACATTCCTTATTTGCATAAAGTTG